AAAAGGTGTGGGGGTGGGTTTGTGGACGTTTTGGGGGGTCTTGGGTGGCTTTTAGGTCTTGATTTTGAGGGTAATTGGTTCAGGGGGTGTGGCTTCTCTATGCAAATGAGATGCTAATTAGGTGGTTGTCTTTCAAATTAAGGACTAATGAGGGGGTCTGGGTGAGGTATCAAAGGTCTGGGGGCAGATTTGGGTCAGTTTTGGGTGGGTTTAGGTGGGTTTTAGGTCTCAATTTTGAGGCGAATTGTTGCAGGGGGTGTGGCTTCCCCATGCAAACAAGATGTTAATTAGGTGATTGTCATTCAAATTAAGGACTAGTTAGGGGGTCTGGGTGAGGGATCAAAGGTCTGGGGGTGGATTTGGGGACATTTTGGGGTGTTTTGGCTGATTTTCAGGTCTCAATTTTGAGGCGAATCAACGCAGGGGGTGTGGCTTCTTTATGCAAATGAGATGCTAATTAAGTGGTTGTCATTCAAATTAAGGACTAATTAGGGGGTCTGAGAGAGATATGAAAGGTCTGGGGGTGGATTTGGGGACATTTTAGGGGGTTTTGGGTGGGTTTTAGGTCTCAATTTTGAGGTGAATTGGTGGAGGGGGGCGTGGCTTCCTTATACAAATGAGATGTTAATGAGGGGTCTAGCAGTCAAATGAGGTGCTAATTAGGGGGTCTGGGTGAGGGATCAAAGGTCTGGGAGCAGATTTGGGTCAGTTTTGGGGGGTCTCAAGGGGGTTTTAGGTCTCCCTTTTAAAGTGAAACGACGCAGGGGGCGTGGCTTCCTTATGCAAATGAGATGCTAATTAGGTGGTTGGCATTCAAATTAAGGACTAATTAGGGGGTCTGAGGGAGATATGAAAGGTCTGGGGGCGGATTTGGGGGTTTTGGGTGGGTTTTAGATCTCCATTTTGAGGTGAATTGGTGCAGGGGGGTGTGGCTTCCCCATGCAAATGAGATGCTAATTAGGGATCCAATAATCAAATGAGGTACTAATTAGGGGGTCTGGGTGAGGGATCAAAGGTCTGGGGGCAGATTTGGGGCAGTTTTGGGTGGGTTTAGGTGGGTTTTAGGTCTCAATTTTAAAGTGAATCGGCGCAGGGGGTGTGGCTTCCCCATGCAAACGATATGCTAATTAGGTGGTTGTCATTCAAATTAAGGACTGATTAGGCGGTCTGGGTGAGGGAACAAAGGTCTGGGGGCAGATTTGGGTCAGTTTTGGGGAGTTTTAGGTCTCAATTTTGAGATGACTCAGCGCAGGGGGTGTGGCTTCCTTATGCAAATCAGATGTTAATTAGGTGGTTGTCATTCAAATTAAGGACTAATTAGGGGTCTGGGTGAGGGCTCAAAGGTCTGGGAGTGGATTTGGGCCAGTTTTGTGGGGGTTTTAGGTGCGTTTTAGGTCTCAATTTTGAGATGACTCAGCGCAGGGGGTGTGGCTTCCTTATGCAAACCAGATGTTAATTAGGTGGTTGTCATTCAAATTAAGGACTAATTAGGGGGTCTGGGTGAGGGATCAAAGGTCTGGGGGCAGATTTGGGTCAGTTCTGGGTGGTTTTAGGTGCATTTTAGGTCTCAATTTTGAGACGAATCGTTCCAGGGGGGCGTGGCTTCCCCATGCAAACGAGATGCTAATTAGGGATCCAGTAATCAAATGAGGTACTAATTAGGGGGTCTGAGTGAGGGATCAAAGGTGTGGGCGTGGATTTGGGTCAGTTTTGGGTGGGTTTTTGGTGGGTTTTAGGTCTCAATTTTGAGGCGAATTGTTCCGGGGGGCGTGGCTTCCTTATGCAAATGAGATGTTAATGAGGGGTCTAGCAGTCTAATGAGGTACTAATTAGGGGGTCTGGGTGAGGGATCAAAGGTCTGGGAGCGGATTTGGGTCAGTTTTGGAGGATTTTGGGTGGGTTTTAAGTCTCAATTTTAAAGTGAATCGGCGGAGGGGGTGTGGCTTCCCTATGCAAATGAGATGTTAATTAGGTGATTGTCATTCAAAGTAAGGACTAATTAGGGGGTCTGAGGGAGATATGAAAGGTCTGGGGGTGGATTTGGGGACATTTTGGTGAGTTTTTGGTGGGTTTTAGGTCTCAATTTTGAGGTGAATCGGTGGAGGGGGCGTGGCTTTCCCATGCAAATGAGATGCTAATGAGGGGTCTAGCAGTCAAATGAGGTACTAATTAGGGGGTCTGGGTGAGGGATCAAAGGTCTGGGGGCAGATTTGGGTCAGTTTTGGAGGGGTTTGGGTGGGGTTTAGGTCTCAGTTTTAAAGTGAATCGGTGCAGGGGGGCGTGGCTTCCTTATGCAAATGAGATGCTAATGAGGGGTCTAACAGTCAAATGAGGTACTAATTAGGGGGTCTGGGTGAGGGATCAAAGGTCTGGGGGCGGATTTGGGGACATTTTGGAGGATTTTGGTTGGGTTTTAGGTCTCAATTTTGAGGCGAATCAGCGCAGGGGGTGTGGCTTCCTTATGCAAATGAGATGCTAATGAGGGGTCTAGCAGTCAAATTCGGTACTAATTAGGGGTCTGGGTGAGGTATCAAAGGTCTGGGGGCGGATTTGAGTCAGTTTTGGGTGGGTTTTAGGTGAGTTTTATGTCTCAATTTTGAGGCGAATCGGTGGAGGGGGCGTGGTTTATTTATGCAAAGGATATGCTAATGAGGGGCGTGGCGGGCGTGTCAGGAAGGCGCAGGAGAGCCAGAAGGAGATGAAGCTGCTGCTGGACATGTACAAGTCGGCGCCCAAGGAGCAGCGGGACAAGGTGCAGCTCATGGCCGCCGAGAGGAAGAGCAAGGCAGAGGTAACCGGGGGATAATGAGACGCTAATGAGGCGCTAATGAGGGGCTAATGAGGCGCTAATGAGATGCTAATGAGATGCTAATGAGATGCGGGTCGCACAAAAGCTGCCCCCGGGAGTGCTGCAGGACTGCTTTGGTTAATTGGGTTGATTGGGTGGGGCGGTGGGTTAATTAAGGGGAATTATTATTGTTATTATTATTATTGTTATTGTTATTATTATTATTAATCTATTAATAATTGATAATTAATGTTTAATTAATCTACTTAATTATGTTTAGTAATTTAACTAATAATAATCTATTAATTATTGATAATTAGTGTTTCATTAATTTACTTCATTATATTCAATAATTTAACTATAAATAATCCATTATTTATTGATAATTAATGTTTTATTAAGCAACTTAATTATATTTAATAATTTAATTTATAATAATCTATTACTAATTGATAATTAGTGTTTAATTAATATGTTTAATTTTATTTAATAATTTTATTAGTAATAATCTTATAATAATTGATAATTAATGTTTAATTAATCTACTTAATTCTATTTAATAATTTAATAACTAATAATAATCTAGTAATGATTGATAATTAATGTTTAATTAATCTATTTAATTGTATTTAATAATTTAATTTGTAATAATCAATAGTTGAGAGTTAATGTTTAATTAATCTACTTAATTATATTCAGTAATTTAATTATTAATAATAATCTATTAATAATTGATACTTAATGTTTAATTTATCTATTTAAATATATCTAATAGTTTAATTAATGATATTTAACAAATAATTAAATGATTATTAATAATAAAACACTATTATTTAATTACTGTTATTTATTTGATTAATAATATTTAATAATTTAGTTAATAATGTTCAGTGAATAAATAACTAATAATAACATAATAATATTTTCAAATATTTAATAATAAATAAATTATTTAGTAAATAATATTTAATTGAAATTCAGTAATTTATTTAATAATATTTAATTAAAGCATTATTAAATAATCGCTAATTAGTGCTCATTAACTAATTAGCTGGAGGAGCTGCGGGGCAGCTGGAGGAGCTCTGTTGCCCCTCCTNTCACGCTGAAGCAGCCCCCGGGAGTGCTGCAGGACTGCTTTGGTTAATTGGGTTGATTGGGTGGGGCGGTGGGTTAATTAAGGGGAATTATTATTATTATTATTATTATTATTATTATTATTAATCTATTAGTAATTGATAATTAATGTTTAATTTGTTTACTTAATATTATTAAATAATTTAACTGTTATTGATAATCTATTGGCAATTGATAATTAATGTTTAGTTTCTCTACCTAAGATTATTCTTAATTTAACTATTAATAATAATCTATTGATAATTAATGTTTAATTTATTTACTTAATGTTATTAAATAATTTAGCTGTTGTTAATAATCTATTGGCAATTGTTAATTAATGTTTAGTTACTCTACTTAAGATTATTCATTAATTTAGCTATTAATAATAATCTATTGATAATTAATGTTTGATTAATCTACTTAATTATGTTCAATAATTTATCTATTAATAATAATCTTCAAATGATTGATAATTAATGTTTAATTAATCTATTTAATTATATTCAATAATTTAACTGTTATAGTAATCTATTAATAATTGATAATTAATGTTTAATTGATCTACTTAATTATATTTAATAATTGAATTATTAATAATAATCTATTAATGATTGTTAATTAGTGTTTAATTAATCTACTTAATATTATTCAATATTTTAACTATTAATAATAATCTATTAATAATTGATAATTGATGTTTAATTAATCTACCTGATTATATTTAAAAATTTAATTAATAATAATCTATTAATAATTGTTAATTAGTGTTTAATTAATCTATTTAATTATATATATTAATTTAACTATTAATATTAATCTATTACTGATTGATAATTTTAGTTTAATTACTCTACTTAATTATATTTACTAATTTAATTACAAATATTTAACGAAAAATTAAATAATAATTAATAATAAAAAGCTACTATTTAATTAGTTATTTATTTAATTAAAAAAATTAATAATTTAATTAAAAATGTTCAGTGAAAAATAATTAATAACAACGTAATAATAATTGAAAATATTTAATAAATAATAAATAGCTTATTTAATAAATAATATTCAATTGAGATTCAATAATTTAATTAATAATATTTAATTAATGCGTAATTAAATAATCGCTAATTAGTGCTCATTAACTAATTAGCTGGNGGAGAGCGAGAACCTTCTGCCTCCCCTTAATTAACAACAACCGGTTATTACTCACTAATTACCACTTGTTAACCCTTATTAAGGCTAATTAGCACTAATTAGCGCTAATTAACCTCCAGCTGGAGGAGTTTCAGGCGCGCTGGAGGAGCAGCAGGAGAACAAGAACCTTCTGCCTCCCCTTAATTAACAACAACCAATTGTTACCCACTAATCACCACTAGTTAACACTAATTAACCCTAATTAGCACTAATTAAGGCGTTAATTACCCGCAGCTGGAGGAGTTTTGGGTGCACTGGAGGAGCAGCAGGAGAACAAGAACCTTCTGCCTCCCCTTAATTAACAACAACCAGTTATTACTCACTAATCACCACTAGCTAACCCTAATTAGCACTAATTAGCGCTAATTACCCCCCAGCTGGAGGAGCTGCGGGCCCGCTGGCGGGAGCTGGAGGAGCAGGAGAACAAGAACCTTCTGCCTCCCCTTAATTAACAACAACCGGTTATTACTCACTAATCACCACCAGTTAACCCTAATTAGCACTAATTAGCGCTAATTACCCCCAACTGGAGGAGCTGCGGGGCACTGGAGGAGCAGCAGGAGAACAAGAACCTTCTGCCTCCCCTTAATTAACAACAACCGGTTATTACTCACTAATCACCACCAGTTAACCCTAGTTCACCCTAATTAGCACTAATTAAGTCGTTAATTACCCCCAGCTGGGGGAGTTTTGGGGGCACTGGAGGAGTGGGAGCAGCAGGAGAACAAGAACCTGCTGCCTCCCCTTAATTAACAATAACCAATTACCCAGCAGGTAGAACACCAATACCCCCTCATTGACACTAATTAGCACTAATTAAGGCGTTAATTACCTCAGCTGGAGGAGCTGCAGGGGCACTGGAGGAGCGGGAGTGTCATGAGAGCGAGAACCTTCTGCCTCCCCTTAATTAACAATAACCAGTTGTTACTCATTAATCACCACTTGTTAACCTTAATTAAGCCTAATTAGCACTAATTAACACTAATTACCCCCAGCTGGAGGAGCTGCGGGCCCGCTGGCGGGAGCTGGAGGAGCGGGAGCGGCGGGAGAGTGAGAACCTTCTGCCTCCCTTTAATTAACAACAACCAGTTATTACTCACTAATCACCCCCAGTTAACCCTAATTAGCACTAATTAAGGTGTTAATTACCCCCAGCTGGAGGAGTTTTGGGTGCACTGGAGGAGCAGTGGCGGGAGAACAAGAACCTTCTGCCTCCCTTTAATTAACAACAACCAATTGTTACCCACTAATCACCACCAGTTAACCCTAATTAGCACTAATTAGCACTAATTACCCCCCAGCTGGAGGAGCTGCGGGCCCGCTGGCGGGAGCTGGAGGAGCGGGAGCAGCAGGAGAACAAGAACCTTCTGCCTCCCATTAATTAATAATAACCCATTGTTACCCACTAATCACCACCAGTTAACCCTAGTTAACCCTAATTAGCACTAATTAAGGCGTTAATTACCCAGCTGGAGGAGCTGCGGGCCCGCTGGCGGGAGCTGGAGCAGCAGGAGAACAAGAACCTTCTGCCTCCCCTTAATTAACAACAACCAG